ACTCAATAATCAAGACAATACTGAAGGAGCCAGTGCCCGCACAATAAGAAATACCTGCCTAAGTCCTTTACTGCATCTCAAGTTAGGGTTGAGGGGGAGTGAAACATAACCATGTCAACTGGTTCCTGTTTTGACTCACTATGAACTCAACAGTGTACACAGTGTTGACTTTCTTTCCTAGGAAGAAAGTCAAACAAGCTCTAGCTGCTCCAAACTTAAAGCCTATCAATAATTTCATATTCAACAGTCAGGCTAGATGTAGCAAAGTGGAAGAGTGACAATTACATTGTACATTTGATCTGTACACACATTTTTCCTGAGGTATCTGTATGTTTGTTCATAGTAGATTCACCAGACACTTGCCTGTTCACTTTTTGAGTAATTAGTGATTTTAGCCTACTCTTTTTTTTAATCCTCACCCAAAAATATGGGTGTTTTTTTAAAATTGATTTTAGAGATAGAGGAGGTGGGGAAGAGAGAGGGAGAGGGAAAGAGAGAAACATCGATGTGAGAAAGAAAAATCAATCGGTTGTCCCCAAAATGAGCCTTGACCAGGGATCAAACCTGCAACCAGATATGTGCCTTGACCAGGAATCCAATCTGCAACATTCTTGGTGTACAGAACAAGGCTCCAACCAACTGAGCCACCCGGCCAGTGCCAGCCTATATTTTTTACAGTCAAATATTGCAGCATAAAACTGCAATCTCGGGAGCTCAGAAAAAGCCCTTAATTATGCAGCTAGACCACATGTGTGTCCTCTACCAAGCGGTCCTGGTATTTCTAGAGACGGATTCCACTCCCAGGTGGGTCTGGTTACTCTGCAATGCCTGTAATGCCACTGACCAGAAGATGAAGTCTGTCATGTCATTATCTATTGTTTACTTGCATTACTAGAAGGTTTCAGTCTACATTAAAGAGCTACTTGTTTGGTATATTTCATCAATATTAATTTCTTCAAAAAATGAAAAAATTATGAGAGCAAATGTTTACAAACAACACATAACATGTTTATGTGTCTACCATAGTTACATGTGTGCATGTTTACAATAAACATGTAGCTTAGGAAATGACAAAAATGATTAATAAATATAGCCAGATCTATAAATTATATTGTTCTAATATATGGATATCAGTTCTAACTTTAAAACAGATTTAAAGAGAGAAAAAGAGAAAATATTTTACTTATTATCTTTCCAAAGCACACCCAGACGACTGTGCGTCTCCATTTATGATGTGAATTAGTTTCATGAGTTGGAGCCAAAAACTACGCTGTGTAGTTATGGAAAGTGCCCAATCCAATCTATGCTGCCTGGTTCAAAAATGTAAGCACAGAGCCCCTAACCAGATTCTTGTACACAGTAAGCACCCAAAGCAAATCTGCTGAACGCAACAATTATCTGAACAGTTGTCTGCAAGACAGAACTGCTGAACTGAGTCCTAACAAGGTAGTGTTGCAAAACCCAAAATACTCATGCTTTTGGATGAATTAGAGGAACCAAACCTTTCTGATTTGATAACATAGCAAAACACAACAATGCTCTCATTCTGAGTAAGGCAACACTCTGTCTGGCAATAAAGATGGTGTACACACAATGTACTGCCAAGGCCAGATAGAACACTGCGGGGTTTCCTCAGGGTGGTTCAAGGGGTTGAAAATATACAGAGTATTCACCACCCACTGATGGAGCAAAATGAGAAACAAAGGAAGTAACAAAGCACACCTGATTCACTTAACTTGGAAAAGGTAAGTTTCCGGGAAGCCTGAGTTTCCAAACACTGCTTAACTAATAATTTATTTAAATCACAATCACCATATCATTACCCATGAAGAATTTTTTAAAAAATGAAATGCATGCCAAGACAAGTAACACAAAACCTAGAAAATGCTGCAACTAATCCACTAAAGTATACAAACAAGTTCTAGCAATCAAAACAATAATGCATTAATGATTGCCCCTAGGATATCAGGAAAAAAATGTTACTGGATGGCAATAGTTTGCAAGATCTTAATGGATTATTTCTTTAATCAAAAACAAAAGAAACATGTCCCAAATTAAATAACAGAACAAACTCCAGCCCTGACCGGTTTGGCTCAGTGGACAGAGCGTCGGCCTGTGGACTCAAGGGTCCCGGGTTTGATTCCAGTCAAGGGCATGTACCTTGGTTTCGGGCACATCCCCAGTGGGGAGTGTGCAGGAGGCAGCTGATCGATGTTTCTCTCTCATCGATGTTTCTAACTCCCTACCCCTCTCCCTTCCTCTCTGTAAAAAAATCAATAAAACATATTTAAAAAAAAAAAAAAGAACTCCAGAAAAAGAACTAAACAAAATGGGGACTAGCAATCTACTAGATGCAGAGTTCAAAACACTGGTTTTAAGGATCCTCAATGAACTTAGGGGAAAGTAGATAAACTTAGTGAGAAATTCAATAGCATACAAAAGGACATAGAAACCATAATAAAGAACCAGTCAGAAATCAAGGATACACTAACTGAAATAAAGAATAATTTATAGGGATTCAACAGTAGAGTAGAGGATTCTGAGAATCAAATCAACAATTTGGAATATAAGGAAACAAAAAAAAAATCCAATCATAATAACAAAAAGAAAAAAGATTCCAAAAATATGTGGATAATGTAAAGAGCCTTTAGGACAACTTCAAGCATACCAACACTCACATCATGGGGGTGCTAGAAGGAAAAGAGAGAGAAAGAAATTGAAAACCTATTAATGACAGAAAACTTTTCTAACCTGGTGAAGGAAACAGACTTACAAGTCCAGGAAGCACAGAGAGTTCCAAGCAAGATGAATCCAAAGAGACCCACACCAAGACAACATCATAATTAAAATGTCAAAGGATAAAGACAAAGAGAGAATTTAAAAGCAGCAAGAGAAAAACAGTTAGTTACCTAGAAGGGAGCTCCCATAAGACTGTCAACTGATTTATCAACAGAAACATTTCAGGCCAAAGGGGAGTGGTAAGAAATATTCAAAGTGATAAAAAGCAAGGACCTACAACCAAGAACACTCTACCTAGCAAAGTTGTCAATTAGAATTGAAGGACATATAAAGAGCTTCCCAAGAAAAAGCTAAAGAAGTTCACCACCACCAAACCAGTATTACATGAAATTTTAAAGGGTTTGAAGAATAAGGAAAAAGAGAAAAAGACCAGAAATGTGAACAATAAAATGGCAATAAATACTTATCTATCAACAATCAAATCTAAAAAGCAAAATAAACAAACAAGCAGAACAGAAACAGACTCACAGATACAGAAAACAAATTGATGGTCACCAAATGGGAAGGGGGTTAAGGAATGGGTGAAAAAGGTGAAGGGATTAAGAATACAGATTGGTAATTACAGAATAGTTATGTACAACATAGGGAATACAGTCAATAATATTCTAATTACTATGTATGGTGTCAGATGGGTACAAGATTTATCAGGATGATCACTTAGTAAGTCATATAATGTCTAATCACTGGAGTGTACACATGAAACTAGTATAATATTGCATGTCAACTGTAATTGAAAAATAAGAATGGTTTAAAATAAAATAAAAACTGGGCAGAAAAAAAGAATAAAAGGAAACTTCTCTCATCTCAATTTTTAAGATGAATGAATTCAATTAAAATAAAATCATGATTTTAAAATCTTAGAATCTTAATAGGTTTATCATTTTAGCTCCTATAATGTATGCCTCAGAGGAAAGGGGGATAACTTACAGCATTACTGGAGGTCAGTGTCAGACTTATCTGAAAATTAAATAGCTCTTAGTAGGGAAAAAAATTCAAGATACTAAGGCTTTTTAAAAGTGTCTAATGAGTTATATTATTTTTAATTTTAAACCAGTAGGTGCTCTCCAAAATTGAGAATTCAGGATATCAACAAATACAAATCTTAAAAGCTTGACCATCAAAGCATAGATTGCCCAATCAAAATAGGATAAATGCAATTTTAAACAATTTTAGTTTCAATTTTTAATACCAGAAAACTCCCTCTACTGGTGACTAGGTATATGCCCATCTACTTTTTCTGACCTTCTGTCTAATTCCTGCTAAACTGAATGAGCATGACAGGTTTTCATCTTAATCTTCTTACCATGTGTACAAGTTCTTAACCTTGACAAAGAACAATTTCAAATTTTTCAAATGAACATCATTCATTATACATGAGGTTTTTTTATTAAGCTGTCTGGAAAATTATAGATTTTGTTTTGTTTGTTTTGCATTAACTCAAGAGAGTGGACTTGTTCAGAATACAGAAGTCAAATTCAACAAAAATCAAACAGTGCTGGAGCTGAAAAAAATAAGGGGGTTACCTGTTTGACCACATTGAAAGAAAAGTGAAAACTGAGAGGTCTAGAATGAAGAAGTACATCGTATCATAATATTCTTCCCATTCTTTCAATATGAAATATGAGAAGTACCAGCAAAAAGTACTAAAGACCAGAGAAACAACCTGGCAAAATGACTCAAAACCCACAAAGCATTAGGATATTCTTGCCCAGAGCTCAACAAATGACTAAGTAGCTAATAGAAAAAAATGGTGGGGAAAGGAAGGGTAAAAGTTCAAACCATATGATAGACTCCAACAGTAAGTAGCTGAATTCTAGAGGTTTAACTAGCAAATTCAATATCTAATCCAAAACTATCATTCTTAACAACAAATAATGAATCTGACACAAACTCAGTTTTAATGTTGAAAGTCAACATATGTAGGTCCCTCATGTTTAGAGAAAAGAATAGAAAAACACACAAAAAACAAAAGACGACTGCCCAGCTGGTGTGACTCAATGGTTGAGCATCAACCTACAAACCAATAGGTCACAGTTCTATTCCTGGTCAGGGCACATGCCCAGGTTGCAGGTTCGATCCCCAGTAGGGGGTGTGCAGGTGGTAGGTGATCGATAATGTTTCTCTCTCATCAATATCTCTGTCTCTCTATCCCTCTCCCTTTCTCTCTCTCTAAAAATTGATGACACCATATTTTTTAAGATGACAACAAATGCAAGTGAGGAACAGAGGTCCTTCTAAATCTTTTGTAAACAAGTTTCCACAATAGCACACCGATCCCTTTCCTCTGCCGCCCTGACACCCTGCTTTAGGGGTGCATCAGGCTCTTTATGTAAGCTTTTCTCATTTTTCAACAACATTTATACTCTGTGGTTTTAGGTTATTTGCCTTTAAGTGAAAATCTCTCCAATGAAAAATTCCAAACCTATATGAAGAAATTTCTTCACATTTTATAAACAAAAATACCAGAAATGGAAGAGCCGATAGAAATTCAAGCAGATCCAAATTCAACCATCCATTTTTCATACTTCTCCAAGTCTGCAGCAGAGACAGACTTGGCAATTTTTTTGAGAGCCAATTCAAAGTCTCCTTTGGTAACAGGCATCTGAAGCTCCTCCTTAGAAAGTGCACGGATCTCTTCTGGACTTAAGCCATTGATGCGCCGTCTCATTGCCATTAAGGATGCATCCCTAAAAATGTACCAGAGTCAGTGAATACTTATTGTTGCAAATGCTACAAACACTTTCAGCTGTAACAAAGTTAAGGGAAAAGATTCAAAAGATCATGTCATATGATTTTATGATGCTGTGTGGAATTTTCTACCTCAGAGACACCCTGGGAGTTCACGAAAGGTTAAAACAGAATGGAAAGGACTTAAACATAAAATGTATTGTTCATGAACCCTAAAAGTCCATATTGGACTCAGATAATACTGATTATTATTTTCCCCACTTGTTCCACAAAGACTACCAAAAAGTTTAGAAAACTGAAGTAAAATTTTAAAATACTGAATTGTACACTTAGAAATGAACATATGGCTCAGTATTAGTATAATTCAAATCTATACCAATTTGTTTATAATCTAATTAGAGGAGGTAAAGCCAGGAACCTCTCTCTCTAGAACATGAATGTATTTGCATATAGTGGATGTGGAATTCCCTACACAGAGAATTTGTAGGCAACTAAAAGAATAACAAATCTAACTTCTCCAGGTCCTATTTTCAGCTCCACTCTGAAGACTTGTAAATCACTATGAAGGTTTAGAGAAAATGGACAATTAGTGCTCATGAGAAAGCTATTAGGATACCAAGCCAACCAAAACTTCAGATTCTTATATACTTTACTACAGTGATAATATAAACTATCGTGAGTTTACTGTGTGCCACTAAACTTAGATGCACACAGGAAAAATACTGGTAGAGAAAGTCAGAAACATAGATGTTGTGGTTTTAAAGAAAGGCCACTGATGTCAACTTAAGTACCATTAGGAAAGTAAGAAAAGAAAAAAAAATCCTCTTTGTTGAGTGTGGTAGTTTATCTAAAAATTATAATCTCACTAAATTGAAAGAAAAATTTTAATATATATGTATCTTTCACAGCTTAAACTGGTCAAGTTTATTCATCTGCAAATATTAAAATAATGCCAACCAAAACTAAGAGTTGTTATTTTACACGTTGATGCAACTAGGCTCCAATTTAGGGATAAATTAACCTTAGGATGTGCTAGACACAATAATTTCTTTTAAAAAATCACAGGATAGAAAAGGTGACCATATTGCTATGTAGTTATTCATCTAACCATGAACAGTGAAAGTATGTAGAGAGAAAAAAAACAACAAGAAAAATCGGGAGATCATTTCAAGAAAATGGGTGGCTGCTTTCATGTCAAGGGCTAATAACTATACTATCTTTGAGACCAGTCCTCCTGCCAAATATATAACTAATCTCTAAGGTCACAGATCATTTAAAAAAATACCTGCAAACATTAGTTATATCAGCACCAGAATAGCCCTCTATCTTCTCCGCTATATCTTCCAGTTGAATATCAGGATCCAATTCAACCTCACGAAGATTGATCTTTAGAAGCTCAGTTCTTCCTTTTGCTGTTAGAAGATTTTTTGTTATTGTTAGATGTTTTTCTATATCATTTTGATGAGAAATCACATATTAATGTTCAGGAGCAGAAACAGAGTTAGTAACTGAGTCTACAAGTATTATCAAATCTTTGCATGACTCCTGGAATTTAACTTCCTATGTGCTTTGGTTGAAATAACTAAAATTTGAAAAAAAATGATACCTGCTATGAGAACAATGGGTCTGAGATCCTTTTATGTAAAATAAAAACATCAGTATTCAAGCACCAGAAATGCTTTCAGTAAAAAACAAAAAAAGAAAAACATTTGGCCTAAGTTTTATGAAACTAGACTGCATGGAGTATAACTTCTATAAATTACTTTGCTCACTCTTTAGTATAATACAGGAAAGGAGTTCTGCAACTCTAGTCAATAGTTCTGTAAAAATCCAATTTTATTTTTCTGGAACACAACAATTAGCACAAAATGCTTATTAAATGTTTCACTTGGAGAGCCAGCCCACAGACATTTGCTATGCCAGTATGATTAAAATGTCTAAACTCAAAACAAATCAATTTAAACAATATTTTAAAAAACAACCATGCTTACAGTTTTATCATCTGTTTTAGTAGCAAATCTGCTTAATACAGCACAGTAAAATAATGCATAGTTGGATCTAACTCTTTATTATTTCCTGATATATAAAAATGAAATTTAATTTTCCCCCACTTTTATTTTGAAAAATTTTAAATCTACAAGTAAAAAACTCAATGAACACCTACTTACCTTTCATCTAGATTCACCAATTGTCAACATACTGCCATTATCATTCCCTTCTCTTCTCCTCTCCTCCCTGCCCGTTTTAGAATTGAGAGCTAGCTGTAGGTATCACAACACTTCATCTTAAATTCTTCAATACTTATCTCCTAAGGACAGAGTTATCCCTGCAATTATCACACTTATCAGGAAATTTTTTAACCCTCACCCAAGGATATGTTTCAAGAGAGGAATGAGAGAGGGAGGCAGAAAGGGAAGGAGAAAAAGAGAGAAACATCAATCGATTGCCTCCTGTACATGCCCCAACCAGGGATGGAACCCACAACCTAAGTAAGTGCCCTGACCAGGAATCAAACCTGCCACCTTTTGGTGTACAGGATGACACTCCAACCAAATGAGCCACCTAGCCAGGATAATTGGGTATTTTAATCTATGTTTCTGTATCTGTGTAATAGTGTTCACACACACATACACACACACGTGCACACACAGAGCAAAGCAAAGAGCAACCACAGTGGAAAAAGAAGCAACCAAGTATTATCTGGGATTGTCACACAAAAAAAGGATGTGACTAGAAAAACCTTTATTTCTAGAATTCCTTAACCTTGGGAGCTCCCAATCCTTGGCCATTCCTAGCCAGTAAGCCCACCTTACAGTTCACCAGGGTACACTGCAAGTGGTGTAGGGCCAAAGAACTCCTCCACTCAGGTGGTCAGCAGGAGTGTGGGAAGAAAGAGAGAAGAGGAGGAAGTTCCTGGGTCCCCTGCTACAGAATGTGGCTGTGCTCCTGATGGCCCCATAATGAACTCTGAATTTAACAGAGGAACTCATTTCACAGTGCCCCACATGGAGCAGATGAGTGCTAGTGAACAAATATCGCTTTGCTCCTTTAGTCCCATTAGCAGACCACCACGGTGTTTCTAAAGCAAATGTTTTACTGTGACTGCCCTAAGAACTTAAACAACAAATAGAATGAAATGTATTATCCCCCAGAAAGGAAGTTCTACACAGTCAACTTAAATGAACCTGTTCATAAGTGAGGGCCTGGTGGTCTGAAGCTTAGTTGGAAGTGTCCTCCTTTTCCCTGATAACTATGATTTAGGGAAGATTAACTTTTAATACTGGTTGTATCAGTGATTTGTTAGAAGGTTCTAAGTGGGATTTATCAGCTCCATAAAACTGAATCAATGACCTTTTAAAAGGATTTAACGAGGGGTTAATGTGTTAATAATAGTATAAAGACCTGCCATGGCTACAGAGCCAAGTTAACACACATTCTAAGTATAAATAAATATGTGATAACAATTCTCTTTAAACACACTAGGCAGTTCAGTGAAGTGGATAATTAGTGTGTGTATGCTGGGGCTAGACCAGCCGTGGGCAAACTACGGCCCGCGGGCTGGATCCGGCCCGTTTGAAATGAATAAAACTAAAAAAAAAAAAGACCGTACCCTTTATGTAATGATGTTTACTTTGAATTTATATTAGTTCACACAAACACTCCATCCATGCTTTTGTTCCGGCCCTCCGGTCCAGTTTAAGAACCCATTGTGGCCCTCGAGTCAAAAAGTTTGCCCACCCCTGGGCTAGACTGTGCTCATACCCCTGTTCTGCTGTCCTGAGCAAGATATTTAACCTCTCAGTGACTCAGCCTCCTCATAAGTAAAATAGAGATAAGAACAGAATCTACCTCATAAGACTGTTGTTAGATAAGCTAATACACTGAAAGCCTTGCCCAAAGTCAGCACTCAGTAAATGTTCGTTGTCCTATCACCACCAAATAGGAGCAGAGGGAAATCGAGAAAACCCAGATCCCTTTTATGAAGGATAATCTGTGAGACAGATCATGTAGATGAAACACCCAGGGATGTAGAGTCCACATAGAGAGATAGGCCAGGGCAAAGAAGACCTCGGAATTAAATGCTTTAATGTCGACTTTGAGAAATAATAAAATTTAAATGGAAGGGAAGAACATGAACAATCTAGGAAATGGGAGCATCATAAATAATGATGTGGAAGTAGAAAGCAAAACACATGTAACAGAGTGAAAAAAAGTCAGTAGGAAAAGTACAACAGAGCACTTACGAAAGGCAAGTGACACAGAGAAAGAAAGTGTGAACTTGCAGTAGAAACAAGCAAGCAAACACACACACACACACACACACACCAAAACAAAAAAAAAAAACTAAAAAAAAAAAAGAGATGAGAGTTACTGAGAGTCCACGATGATGCCTTGATGGTTAAGGAGGTTAGTCTAAGAAAATAGAATTAGAGGGGGCTGGAGAAAGGAGACCATTAGGCTGACCAGGTGGACACTGCCATTTTTAGATGCAAGAACTAAGAGGAGATTTAGTGTCAGGCCAAGCTCCACCTGTCCTGTTACTTGACTTCTTGCCTTCAGTTGATCATGGAAGGTTGAATTTAACAAGATGACTGCAAGAGTTTCTTTTATCCCACACATGCTCCTCCCACCCAAAGGCAGTCTAATTCCCTTCCTCCTGAAAATGGCTGGGCTTGTAAATACTTCCACCCAGAGTAAGGCAGAAGTGGCAATTCATGACCTCAAGGCTAGGTCCTAATAATGCACCTTGCAACTTTTCCAGTGTAATAATCACACCTGGAGCCCTGAGCTACCATGTATGAAATCTGTCTGTCTACAGGTAACATGGAGGTACTCCAGCTGAAGCCCTAGGCCTCAACCACCAGGCATGTGGGTAACAGCATTCCAGATGATCCCAGGCTCCAGATGTGGGTCATCTTTAGCTACTGAACCTTCCCATTTCTGACCCTAGACATCATGAAGAAGAAAACCTTTGACCTTGGGGTAAGCAAAGACTCTTAAGACACAAAAAGCACTATCCAAAAAGAAAAATTTGACAAGAAGACTTAATAAAAATTAAAACTTCTGCTTACTGAAGACACCATAAAGAAAATTGAAAGGGAAACCACAAAGTGGAAGAAAATATTAACAATGCATCTACATGATCAAGAACTACACTGCATTAATAAGACAACAAATAAACCAATTAAAAACTGTACAAAATACTTGAAAAGACATTGTACAAAAGATATACCAATGACCGACAGGCACACAGAAAGGTGCTCTACATCATTAGTCACCAGAGAAATGCAAATTAAAACCATAATAAAATGACATTTCACACTTAACTAAAATGACTAAAATTAAAATACCAACAATACTAAATGTTGACAAAGATGTGGAAGTACTGGAATCTCATTTATTGATGATGGAAGTATAAAATGGTACAACCACTAAGGAAAACAGTCTGGGTGCTGCAAAATCAAACATATACCTATACTATGATCCACCTATTCCTTTCTTATCTACATTAACCAAAAGAAATAAAAACATTCGTACATAAAAATATTTGTATGAGAATATTTATAGCTTCATTCATAGTAGTCAAAATAACTCAAATGTCCATCAAAAAGAGAATAAAAAATTTCAGTATAATAATATCACAGATAAACTACTGATACATGTAACCACATGGATAAATCTCAAAAACATTATGTTGAGTAGTAACCACATACACAAGTACATATGTCATGATTCCATTTATATGGAGTTTAATAATATGTAAAACTAATCTATGGTGATAAAAATCAGGAAAGTAAAAGGGGTTTGGATTAATTGGTAGGAGGCACAGAGAAACTTTCTGGGATAAAAGAAATATCCTACATCTTGAGTAGGATAATAATTAAACAGGAATATTCACTTGGTAAAACTCATCAAATTTACACTAAATATTTATACATTTCACTGAATATATAAATCTAAAAAAAAAATCCTTAAGAAAATTTCAATGTTCATCAATAGGAATAAAATGGTATTTTTCTAAAGCAGAATATCTCAAGGAAACTTTATTTTTAAACACTTAAAGTTTAATGAAGACTCTTCACGTTTAAAAGTAAAAACTAAGATGTCCTACCCAATTTATTAACATGAATTCTGCTCTAAGTGTAAGAGCTGCTCTGAAATGTACTGCAAATAGTTTTTGTAATGCTAAAAACTTCTTTTAGCAGAATGTCAATGGAATAAAGACAAGAGGAAAAAAAGATAACAGGGAAAAAAAATTGAAACACTATAAAGGGAATACATTGTACCTGTTGGGAGAGGTATATAAATCCTCTTCTCTAATCTTCTTCGCAAAGCTTCATCAATATCCCATGGGAAATTAGTAGCAGCTAATACCATAACCATTTTGGAAGGATCATCATTCTCTAAAGCTCCTCCAACACCTACATACAGTAAGAGGAAAAAGTCCATTATTTTTTCATTCAACTAACACTCCAAGCATCAGTCACAGGCTGGTGATAGGCTCAATGATAAAAATAACAGTCCTTCTGACTTCTGGATGGTGGCAGACGAGGCACTTCAACAGATAACTATAAAAAAGGAAACTGAAGAGTCCACATCATCTATTATAGGATTCTAATCCAACAAGAAAAACCTTTTTTTCCTGTAAGAAAATAAAGTATATTCCTCTGAAAAGAAAAGGCATGAAAGATTCTTCTGTTTTATCCCTCTGATTTTTTAAACCATGAAGTTCCTCAAAAATTGTTATTTTCTTAAATGTTACTTTTCAATTACAGTTTACATTCAATATAATTTTATATTAGCTTAAGGTGTACAGCATAGTGGTTAGGCAATCATTTACAAAGTGATTCCCCCCGATATTTCAAGTACCCACCTGGCACTGTATATAGTTATTACAATACTAGAGGCCTGGTGCACAGATTCGAGCACTGGTGGGGTCCCTCGGCCTGGCCTGCAGGGACTGGACCGGAACCGGCTCTCCGACATCCCCCAAGGGGTCCCGGATTGCAAGAGGGCACTTCTCAGGTGATGCACCCCGGAATCAGACTCCCTCCTCTCTGGTTCCGGGTCCGTCAGCTGAGAACCGCAGCTGCCAAGTCTGCCCCCTGGTGGTCAGTGCACATCATAGCTACCAGTCGGAGCGTCTGCCCCCTGGTGGTCATTGTGTGTCATAGCTACTGGTCAGATGATTGGATGGTCACTTAGGCTTTTATATATATAGATTATTGACTATATTCCCTATGCTGTATTTCACATATCCTGGACTATTTTGTGAATACCAATTTGCACATCTTTCACCTAGCACCCCCAACCTCCCTCTCCTCTGGCAACCATCAGTCTGATCTCTATATCTATGAGGCTGTTTCTACTTTTATTCGTTTATTTTGCTCTTTAATTTCCACATATAAATAAAGTAATCTGATATTTGTCTTGCTCTGTCTGACTTATTTCACTTAGCATAATACCCTCTGGGTCCATCCATGTGGTCGCAAATGGTAAAATTTCATTCTTTTTATGCCCAAGTAATATTTCATTGTGTGTATGTATGTATGTATATGTGTGTGTATACCCATATAAACATTTATACCACCACTTTTTATATAATCATCTGTTGATGGGCTCTTGAGTTGCTTCCATATCTCTGCTATTATAAATAATGCTGCAATGACTATAGGGGTTAATATAACTTTTCAAATTACTGTCTGGGATTTCTATAAATATATACCCAGAATGGAATTGCTGGGTCATAAGGCAGTTGCATTTTTAAATTTTGGAAGAGCCTCCATACTGTTTTCCATAGTGGCTGTACCAATCTGCATTCCCACCAACAGTGCACTAGGATTCCCTTTTCTCCACATCCTCGCCAGCATTTGTTTTTTGTTGATTTATTAATGACTAGAGGTCTGGTGCATGAGATTCATGCACTGGAGGAGGGGGACCCTCAGCCCAGCCTGTGCCCTCTCAAAGTCTGGGACCCCTTGGGGGATGTCTGCTTGCCAGCTTAGGCCCAAACCCCCGGGGATTGGGCCTAAGCCAGCAGTCAGACATCCCTCTCACAGTCTGGGACCCCTTGCTCCTTACCGCCCGCCTACAGCAGAGGCGGGAGAGGCTGCCGCCACCACCACTGCACTCACCAGCCATAAGGCCAGCTTCTGGCTGAGCATGCTCCCCCTGTGGGAGTGCACTGACCACCAGGGGGAAGCTCAACGCAGAAGCTGCCCCTGGTGGTCAGTGCGCGTCATAGTAACCGGTTGTTCTGCCGTTTGGTCAATTTGCATATTAGGCTTTTATTATATAGGGTAGCCATTCTGACAGGTGTGCGTGGTAGGCCTGAGGTGGTATCTCTCTGTGGTTTTAACTTGCAATTCTCTGATGATTAATGATTTTGAGCATCCTTTCATATGTCTATTGGCCATCTCTATGTCCTCTTTGGAAAAGTGTCTATTCAGGTCTTCTGCCCATTTTTTAATTTGATTGTTTGGGCTTTTTTGGTGTTTAGTTGTATGAGTCCCTTATAAATTTTGGATACTTAACCCCTTATCAGATGTATCACTGGCGAATATCTTTTCCCACTCAGAAGGTTGTATTTTCATTTTGATGATGGTTTCTTTTGCTGTGCAAAACTTTTTATTTTGATGAACTCTCATAACTTTTTTTTCTTTTGTTTCCCTTGCCCAAAAAGATATATCAGAAAAAAATATTGCTAAGAGAAATATCAGAGAATGTACTGCCTATGTTTTCTTGTAGGAGTTTTGTAAGTTCTCACATTTAAGTCTTTAATCCATTTTGAACTTGTTCTCATATAGGGTGTAAGAAGGTGGTCTAGTTTCATTTTTTTTTGCATGTATCTGTCCAATTTTCCCAACACCATTTATTGAATAGACTGTTTTTATCTCACTGTATGTTCTTGCCTGTTGTGCATGGTTGGGGTCCCTCAGCCTGGCCAGCAATCGGGGCTGATTGGGGCCAGCCGGCCAGGGGAAGGGACTGTGGGAGGTTGGCTGGCCATGGGAGGTTGGCTGTGGAAGCACACTGACCACCAGGGGGCGGCTCCTGCACTGAGTGTCTGCCCCTCTGGTGGTCAGTGCACATCATAGCTACCGGCCGGTTATCTGGTTGTAACAGTCACTTAGGCTTTTATATATATAGATTAATTGACCATCTACGTGTGGGTTTATTTCTAGGCTCTCTATTCTGTATCATTGATTTATGTGTCTGTTTTTATGCCAGTATCATGCTGTTTTGATTACCATAGGAGTATAGTTTGTAGTATAGTTTGGTATCTGGTAGTGTGATACCTCCAATTTTGTTCTTTTTTCTCAACATTGCTATGCCTATTCAAAATCTTTCATGGTTCCATATAAATTTTTGGATTATTTGTTCTAGTTCTGTGAAAAATTCCATTGGTATTTTGATAGGAATTGCATTCAATCTATAGATTGCTTTGGTGATGTTAATTCTTCCAATCCATGAACACGGTATATGCTTCCACTTACTCGTATCTTCTTTAATTTCTTTCTTCAGTGTCTTACAATTTTCCGAGTACAGGTCTTTTATGTCCTTGATTAAATTTATTCCTAGATATTCTTTTTTTTATGCAACTGCAAATAGATTATTTTTTAGTTCCCTTTTTGATAGTTCATTATTTGTGCATAAAAATGCAACCAATTGCTAAATACTTATTTTGTATCCTGCTACTTAATTGAATTCAGTTATCATTTTTAGTTGTTCTTTGGTGGAATATTTAGGGTTCTCTGTATGCAATATCATGCCATCTGCAAATGACAGTTTTACTTCTTTCTAGCCAATTTGGATTTCTTTTACTTCTTCTTATCTGATTGCTGTAGCTAGGACTTATAGAACTATGTTGAATAAGAGTGGTAACAGTGAACATCTCTGTCTTGTTCCTGATCTTAAGAGAAACACTTTTAGTTTTCTCCATTGAGTATGTTAGCTGTCAGTTTGTCAGATATGGTCTTTAGCATGTTGAAGTATGCTCCCTTGGTTCCCTCATATGTTCCCTCTATTTGCTGAAAGTTTTTATCATAAATGGATGCTGGGTTTTGTCAAATGCTTTTCTGCATCTACTGATATGTTCATATTATTGTAGCCTTCATTTTGTTTACGTATATCACATTAATTGATTTGCAAATACTTACCAACCTTGCATCCCAGGAAGAAATCCCACTTGATCATGGTGTATAATCTTTATAATGCATTGCTGAATTTAATTTGCTAATATTTTATTGAGAACTTTTGCATCTGTTATCAGGGATATCCTATATAATAAAGTCCTATGTAATAAAGAGGTAATATGCAAAGCGACCATCACACCCTCGCACAAGATGGCCAACCCCATGTGGTCACAAGATGGCCACGCCCATGTCGTCACAAGATGGTTGGCAGGGGAGGGCAGTTGGGAGCAAACAGGCCAGCAGGGGAGAGCAGTTGGGGGTGATTGGGCTGGCAGGGGAGGGCAGTTGGGGGTGACTGGGCCTGCAGGGGAGGGCAGCTGGGGGGGACCAGGCCTGCAGGGGAGGGCAGTTAGAGGCAACCAGGCCGGCAGGGGAGGGCAGTTAGAGGCGACCAGGCTGGTAGGGAAGGGCAGTTGGGGGTGACCAGGCTGGCAGGGGAGGGTAGTTGGGGGGGACCAGGCCTGCAGGAAGGGCAGTTGGGGACAATCAGGCTGGCAGGGGAGAAGGTAGGCGTCAATCAGGCCAGCAGGGGAGTCGTTAGGGGGTGATCACACTGGCAGGCAGAAGTGGTTAGGGGCAATCAGGCAGGCAGGCAGGCGAGCGGTTGGGAGCCAGCAGTCCCAGATTGTGAGAGGGATGTCCCACAGGGATCGGGCCTAAACCGGCAGTCGGATATCCCCCGAGGGGTCCCAGATTGGAGAGGGTGCAAGATGGGCTGAGGGACAGCCCCCCCCCTAGTGTACGAATTTCATGCACCAGGCCTCTAGTTAGCCTATAATTTCCTTTCTTTGTAGTATCGTTATCTGGTTTTGGAATTACTATAAATGCTGGCCTTGTAAGATGAGCTTGGAAGTCTTCCTTCCTCTTGAATTTTATGGAATAGTTTGAGATGGATAGGTGTTACTTCTCTGAATGTTAGGTAAAATTCACCTGTGAAGCCATCCAGTCCAGGGCTTTTGTTTGTTCTGAAGTTTGTTTGTTGTTGTTTTTTTAATTACTGCTTTGATTTTGTTGGTCTGATCAGATTTTCTATTTCTTCTTGATTCAGTCTTGGAAGATTTTATATTTCTAGGAATTTATCCATTTCTTCCAGATTGTCCAATTAGTTAGCATTTAGTTGTTATAAGACTTTCTTATAACCCTTTGTACTTCTGTTATCAGTTGTTACTTTTTATCTTTCATTTATAATTTTTTTTTCGGGGGGGGGGATCCTTTCTCTTTTTTTT